TTCAGATCCGAAATAATAGACATTTTCGGCACATTTAAAGCGTTTTTTGAGCGTTCACGATCTTCAGCCGACGATTTCTTCCTGATTATTGACCCAAACGCTTTATAAATGCACATTTGTGACCTTTTTACGTCGAAAGGAGTCGATTGAGCTCAAAAAACACGCATGTGAAATTTTGATTTTTGGCCGAAACTTATTTGTCGGTCGATTATTTGAAAAAATGAAAGTTTTCTGAAAATGTCTTAAAGTTTACATCATTTTCAGCTCACGCACCCAAAGAATGCATCGAACTCATTGAAAAACATCGCAGAAGTTTCAGATCCAAAATAATAGACATTTTCGGCACATTTTAACGGTTCATTGAGCGTTTACGATCTTTAGCCGACGATTTATTGATGTAAAATTTTGCTTTTTGGTCAACATTGTTTCAAAGCTAATTGTCGATTTTTTGAAAAAATAAAAATTTTCCCGGTGGAATCGGTAATCACTAGACAAGTATTTTGTGCACTTTCGTTCGTGCGGCTTGATAACGTAAATAATCCCTGCCGAGAGGGTCAGAAACCATATGGTAAAGCGGTGTTGCTCAATTCAAATTTTGTCATTGACCATTTCCTTACAGAAGAACTTGAATATATTTTCATCGAGTCCATGTGTACCTTCAAGCGCGTAAATACAGTACGGAGCTTCACTTATAAAGCGTTGATAGGAACTTACGAAAAATTAAGAAGGCTAGGCCAATGAGAGCGGCCCCAGTCAAGGTGACTACAAAGTACGTATCTCGAACTTCGTCTGATGATTCGCTGTATCCAATGCTGCCTTTCATTACCATGAAAATTCTGAAACGAAATTTCCTTATAAACTTTCCTCTCAAACGTGCAAATTCAGTGGAATTTGCTCAGCGCCACCATTTCTGAGCGTCTTCTTACCCAATAGCAAAAAGCGTCCAGCAACTGCATATCAGAGCAAGATTGAGCGATTTTCTCCACGTCAGGTTCGTAACACATGGAGTGGCTCTATGGGAAATAGAGGCCAGATAGGAGATCGGTCTGTGCTGCCTGCGTTCTGGGGGACTGTTGGACTCATATTGGACAGTTGTGGGTCGGTAGACGGCTCCGGACATTTTGTAACCGTGTTTACTGAAACAGGAGAACTGGTTATTTTTGCCTTTCAGGCCCCGCACGTTTCAAGTCCCGAAGATTTGAAAATCTCAAATGCTTCTGTGCAGATACATGCGCAACTGGGCGAAAAGTGCCTCTTAACCGGGCCAAAATTGCTTAATTTTTTGGCGTCGCGATCAGGCAGGCGAGCTAAGAAAATTACATAAAATTTCTACGGTTCGCTACAACGGTTTCTCAGGAAAAACAATTTTCAACTGGCTTTGCAACGTACAGACAGACAGACAACTCAAGCTCACCTGCTTGCATACCGACCAAGTGCAAATGCCAAAAACTAACTACGAATCGTGAAGGCCCAGGCCTGCAGTAAAACCGGTCAAGGGCCGACCGAGGATGCTTTAAATGTCAACAATTGCCCTTTGCATTCGCATGCAAGCCCAAAATACCCGTCTAAAGGGGGCGGATTCTGCCTAACTACGTCTACCTGCTGCTGTTTTTTACTCATGCATTTTTTTCAGCACTTGGGCGCAAATAGTAGGGTTAGAACGTGCCAAGGTGGGACTTTTTACACCCAAACTTTTCCCCGAAAGGCAAAGAAACGCACTTTTCCCACAACCACTTCATGGTCCCTCGCGTCGTTAAACAAAGCAGCTGCGTGGAAATTTGCAACGACAATTCAGTTCGGCTAAATCAACAACGGGGAAAACTTACATGCCACTTGGCTATCGATTTTCCGAACGTTGCCCGCGTTTTTCCACAATTACAACATGTTTGAGTCACTTGTAGGCATTGGGGTGCTCGACAAACGCGAATTTCCACTGCCAGAAGACCAGTTGGTCGATCAGACAAGCCAAACGAGTTATTCCCAATCTGAGTCACCGCACCAAATTTCCTCCGGCAATCCTCCCATACGGCTCTTTTGATGGGTTGCTGCCAGCAGAACCGAAGGTAAAAGTCGACCAGCGGCGTCACTGAACTGCGCTAACCCGACGTCGAGTCGAAAGTGAATGGAACTCAACAAAGT